ACACACACACACACACACACACACACACACACACACACACACACACACACACACACAGAAAACGTCCTGTCTGCTCCATTTACAACCAACCAGACGAAAAGTGATTATTAAGTGAAAAGTTGTCCGCGTTAATGGTGAAACCAGTCTACTAATGGCTGCGTATAGTCAGCCAAGAACAGGGAGATTGGTTACTCGAATGCAGACCAAGCAATTCAGCGCTGTAGAACGAGACTATTTGACCATATGTCGAGGCACTGAGCTGTGACGAGAGACAGATGGTTCAGAGAAGCTCCTAAATCTTCTTTTCGGGCACTGCATTTCCAGAACAGTCTTAAAAAATGTCGGTCCTTGATTATTTTAGGATGTCCAAGAGTATCAATACTGGTATTATCATAGATTATATCTTTATGATTTCTGATACATATAATCTTACCCACTTATCTAATTATACTGTTGTTTTGTTCTCTATTTTTAAAGAGAGAAACATGTGGTAATGCTTTTGGATTTGAAGGTGGGGGAGCGGGGTTGGGGGCTGAGAAGCCAACATCTGGACAACTTCCGGTTCTATCTTCAAAGTTACAATGTCCTCCAGGTTTGAAGCGTTATTGGCGGGCATAAGGAGAGCGTTCTAATATAGTGGTTGTCAGGCGGAGAGTGATTGTGTGCGACATCGAGGTGAAATCAAGCGCTTGTCAAGATGATGAAAACGGAGAAACCGACATTTCTGTAAATACTATTTACTTTTAAAAAAAATAAAAATTTAAAATCACATTTGTGGGTGAATGTTAATAATAATAATAATTGCATTTATATAGCGTATATCCATGCCCAAGAGCATGCTCTAAGCGCTTTACAACTATTATTATCTCAGCAGACCCTCTGAGAACACTCAAAAACATTTTCTGTTACCGAAAAACAGCTGACGAAAGGTACAGTAAAACATAAATTAGCGGTTTCAAAAGGGCTCTTATCTTTTGTAAGTTACGAACGTTTGACCGCAGTTTTCTTGCTAATCTAACCTCTGACACCAGGACACCTAACATCGTTCAAATGAAAACATCTCGACTTTTATTCGAGATATACGGGTATTTTATTCAGTATGAGAAAAAACAAGGCAAGTGAACAGAATTTAAGATTATACCAATATCTCTACATGCCCCAAAAACTGACGAGCGCCTGATTCCACCGTGTCTTCGCACAATTGTACAGATCAGTAAAACTTGATCGTTGTTATTTAAAAAAAAGACCTGACAAAGTTTCATGATAATATGCATTTACTATTCAACTGTAGCTGGCGCATCGCAGATACACCTCTGGTAACCTCTGTGTCTATCAATGCTAGTGGGAAAATATTCTTCTTCTACTTCGCGGGCGTTTGCCTCACGCTGACACTCGCCCAACTAAAATACACATTTTTATTGTGGGGAAAAATCTACAACCCCCAAACAAATACTCTATTAATACCTCATCCATGCAAATTCTGAAAAAAGAAAGGGTAACGTGACTGACTTATGTTCACGTCTATTGAAAAAATCTACAAACGTGCGAGTATATTATAAGCGTAGAATTGTGTACTTTTTTCGTGGGTTGAGGGATGGTGCTGGTGGTTGTTAAGGTGGATATAAAGTTTTCGAAATATAGCTTCGATAGTATGGTGAGGCAAATCTGTATTTTTTGTATTTGTGCAATTAGGCTACCCTCAGTAGAATCAAGTTAGAGCAGATCTTTATTTCCCAGATGTCGGCACATTGGTTTAGTGATTTATCACACACACGCGCGCGCGCGCGCGCGCACACACACACACACACACACACACACACATACACACACACACACACACAATCACTTAAACCTGTGAGAACACCAATACATGTTCTCAGACACCCTCTCATCCCCACTCATTTGTACACACACATCTCTTTTAATAGACCCACTTTCACACGCACAATTAATAAAACAAAGAAAACAGTAATATTGTTATTGTTAATAATATTTATGCTAGACACATTAACAGTAAAAAAGAAAGAATATCTGTGGATTTCTGATATTATCATGTTTTAAATGTCATAATATTATTACTTATATCAAAATAAGGGAATATAGATGTTGATTACCTGCATGCTTTTGGTATGAAACGATTCGGGTAAAAGGGGGTTTGGGGTAGAGGTGGGCAAAATCCAGATAAACTATAAGAATAACCGGATAATTCTCAATGAAACATTTTCCGAATTCAGACTCTTTTATCTCCCTTTCCCGACCCGTTTGCCGAAGTGGGTGCACCCATATGTTGAAGTGATGCTAACCCGTTTGTCAAAGTGGTTCTAACCCATTTGACGAAGCGGTTCATATCATATTAATTACAGAAGAGGTGCATTAACATACTATCCGAATTTTGCTAAAGCGACTCATTGCCCAGCCCTAGTTTGGGGTTCACCGGAAAAAGAGAGGAGGGCAAGAGAGATACATAACCACAACAGCCAATGTCTGGAGTGTAGTAGATTTATGTATAGTTATCAGCCAATGACAATGCACTTACACAGCTAGACAATGAGAGAGAGAGAGAGAGAGAGAGAGAGAGAGAGAGAGAGAGAGAA